TATAAACATTCAAACATATCTCTTTTTTTTTGTTGCTTCTATTGAATTATTTTCTTAAGATAAAATATCTGTCAAAGCCTGTGCAATTATCTGGGGCTTTTGCCCAGTACTGTTTTCCAAAAGGATTATACCAGTTTTCAATATCTTTATCAAGGAATTATTCAAACCTTCTTGGCAGAATTTAGAAAAAATTTGCTACCTCAGTAGTCATAACATGGATATGTTAATATCTATTTTAATTCATACTTTATTACATCCTTCCAAGCATATTTATTCAAATGTTTGCTGTTATTTGCTCTTTTTCATTTATTCTACAGATTCTTAGTTTATTTAGCATATGGCTGTGTCCCTATTCTAGAGACTGGGATATAGCAGTAAATAAAACTGACAAAAATCCCCTTATGGGAATGATTGTGTATACAGATCTATTAAAACTATAGTTTTGTGCTGGGGTTGCAGCTCAGTGGTAAAGCGCATGCCTCATATGTGTGAGGCACTGGAGTTTGATTCTCAGCACTGCATATAAATAAATAAGTAAAATAAAGATCCATCAACAACTAAAAAATATTTTAAAAAATCTATAGTCTCTTAGGTACTATATCAACTAGGGCTTTTCAAACTAGCTTAAGCAAACTTTGAGAGTATTTGACCTTTCATTTGTAGAGGATGGGTAGAAGTAGGCACAGCCATGTCAACATTATCTTCCTGGGGAAGCAATTTACTCGAAGATTTAAATAAGAAAGTGAATTAGTAAGATCTTTTTAAAAAATTTCTTTGGCTGTGCTTGAGATAGAACCCAGGCCCTCATGCACATTAAGCAGGAGCTCTACCACTGATACATATATAAAAATGTCAATATATTTATCATAGAGTAGAAAAAAATTTTTTATATGAGTTCTTTAAAGGTAAAACAGTTTTCAAAGAAATTTCCAACACTTGCCTTTAGCACCTGTTTCCCTTTGATAATCAGTTCTCTCTATGCCTTGAAGGTAAGATCAGTGGGAAGTCTTGAAAGTTATTAATAGACTAGTCAAAACCAATTCTTAGTTGAGTAAAAGTAAGAAAGAATGTCCCTTAATGAATTTTCAAGTTTTGGTGATTACAAATAAAGTCACCATAAACGTTTTCAAAGTGTCTGAACCATTTGCATTCCTATTAGCAATGCATGAAAGTTATATTTGTTTCAGCAAATTTCATATTCACCAATACTTATATAGTCAGTTTCTTATTCTAAAATATATGTATCTCATTGTGGTTTTAATTTGCATTTTTCTCATGATTTAATGAGGTGAAGTATATTTTCATGTGCTTGTCACTTATATATCCTCTTTGGTGAAGTATTTGTTTAAGTCTTTTGCCTACTTTTCAGTTGCTTCTCTTTTCTCATGCTTGAGGTTTTTTTTTTTTTTTTTTGGTACCTGGGATGAACTCAGGGGCCCTCTGAGTTGCTTAGCACTTCACTTTTGCTGAGGCTGGCTTTGAACTCCTCATCCTCCTGCCTCAGCCTCCCAAGCCACTGGGAATACAGGTGAGCACCACCCTGCTTGGCTCATGCTTGAGTTTTGAGAGTTCTTTATATACTCTGAATAAAACCTTTAAGTATGTGTCATGTTACAGAAAACCCCAATTCATAAATGAGACATTTGAGAATGTTTAGTTAGGTGACTATGAACTAATTCCACTGTCTTGAGTTTTATAACTGATTTAAATGATTTTTCAACGTTTATGTGAGAAATTGTTTTCTCTATCTGTAAAATGAGGGGAATTTTTACTGTCAAATCAAAAATACTTGCCTGAAAGCTCGATAAAGGTATTCTGTATTAAAAAAAAAAAAATGACTAGCCCAAAACACAGCAGAGGCTCTGCTTTCGGTTAGAATGTAAGCAGAGAAATGTACCACCCAGGAATAAACATGAAAACACTGAATCCAAATGACATTTGGAATCTAATGAAATTTAGAAACTGATTTCTAAATTAGTTTAAGTGACTCAGCAACCCTGTATGGAAAGAATTGAAAGAAAATCTGCTTTACCTTCCCATAATATATACCTTGAAAAAAAAGGAACTATAGAAAAGATCTGTGTTTGACAGTGAAGCATGCAAGCTCCTTTTAATTAATATTTGCACCTGCATCTCTGATTTGCAAAAGATGTGTAAATTTCAAAATAGAAAAATGTCAAGTTTGTTACAATATGAACATGTGGTTCAGTGCTCTATGCAGTAGAGCATGTTGCCTTGCAAATTTGGATTCTTAACTGGTTCTGATCGTTACTATAGTTAATCTACTTGAACTGAGCAATTCTTAGTTTAAACTGGACCTAAAATCTCTAGTAGCTGCAACTGCTTGAAGCTCCTCTGGTACAGTACGCCCTTCCTCCCGACTCTCATGCAAAAGGTCACCTTCTAAGACTGACTAATGTACTCATTTGTGTGGGCAAAATTTCCAGTCCACTCCTATCTTCCTGAATAGTTCTCCAGGCTCAGAACTCCTCCACCGCACAAATCAGTTATTTCCTGCAGAGCTAGGTACAGGATTAACCACCTCGGGGACCAGCAGCAGGCATGGATCATTTCCTTTTCCCGCTACAAAGCACGTCTCCAGCTAAAAATGTTTTTCATTTGTCACATTTCTGTTAATTCTTGAGGAAAATAAGTTATAGTTCGTTTCCTGCCACAGAATCTTCCCCTGTTTCATAGCTATGATGTCTGGGTAAAAATAGCTCACATTTTTTGCTTAAAAAATAACGGCTGGGGCTGGGGTTGTGGCTCAGTGGTAGAGTGCTCACCTAGCCATGTGAGGCAGAAGTTCGATCCTCAGCACCACATAAAAATAAACAAAAATAATAGCAGACGGAGTTTAAAAATAAAAAATAACGACTGCGCAAATTTTATAGTTAGATTTGTTTCAAATACGAAGACCGCGCCTCCTAACTAGTAAGGCGGGATATACCCAAGGAGTGAGGGACTGTGGTGGAGAGAAGCCTGCAGAGACGTCCGCTTGTCAGGCCCAGGGTCCGCCCAAACCCCAAGGGCAAGGTCCGCCTCACCCCGGGAAGTTTGGGGCGGCGGGATCAGTCCAGCTGCCGCTTCCGGACCTGCTTCTCTGAGAGCGCAAGAACTCGCTTTCCCAGCAGGCCCCGCGCGGGCCCGGCGACCTGCCTCCTCGTGGTGCGGCTTTCGGCGCGTTCCGGGTCCTGTCACAGCGCAGCCCGCGAGCCCCGCCTGCGGCCCTTCCCCCTGGCTCCACGCTCCTTCCCCGACTCCCGCTAGTTCCAGTCCCAGCTTCCAGCTCCCCAACCCCGCCCTCAGTCGCGCGCGCGCTCCCCGCCCCGCCCCCGCCCCCCCGCGTGCAGCCGTCACAGCCAATGAGGTTTAGGGCCGCGTGCGCAGATTCAAACGGCGGCTCTTGAGGGAGGCTGGGCGCGAGATTCGGCGGTGCGGACAAAACCCTGCAGGAGGCTGCGAGCGCTGCAGAGCTGCTCACTGCGGGGAGAGGGCGGGGGTCGGCGCCCGCGGCGGAGCCGCGCCTGGACCGCAGCGAGGAGGCTGAGAAGCGGCGGGAGGGGCCAGCGGAGGGCGGGAGCGCGCCTCCTGACATGTTGGGAGCATCCCTGACCGGGCCGGGCCGGGGCTAGGAGCGGCGCCCGGGTCGGGGGCGGGTCGCGGTCCGCCCCTCTGTCCCTCCGTCCTGTCCTGCCGAGGACCTGCGTTCCGCACTCGGCCGCCTCGGGGAAAGAGCGAGGGAAGAGGCGGGAGGGTCGGGGAGAAGGAGCATTCTCCTGAGGCTGGAGGAGGCTGACCTGCGTCCCCGCCCAGCCCGCGCCTATGCGGTACTTGAAGGATGGCGAAGAGGTCGCGCAGGTGGGTGACATCCCTTTCGCCCAGGCCTATCGGCACAGTCTCCGTTCCGATTCTCTTTCTTTTCTGGTTGTCCCCACACCAGACCCTCCCCAGTCGGAGCAGAGGTTTTCCTTTTCGCTGCCGTACGGCGTATTCATCCCCGTTGGCTGAAGCGCAGCCGCGACGTGTGGGACTAGTGTGTTTAAGACGCAGAGAAAGTAACAAATACTCAGGTTGCTCCTTTGAGTTGATTGTTCCCATAGCGCACGTCTAGATTCCTAATCTCTCACATTCACTTCTTGGAGGGAGGTTTCTTCCCAGGTAAGTCTGTGCACTCTTGGGGAATACTCTACGCAGGTAAAGTGGTTGTGTCCTGCCTGGATGACTTGAAAATGGGGTTCTCTTTTCTGAATTACAGTGCCAGTCAAAACAGGAACTCCATGACAAACCAGGGCGGGCATCCCTCTGCCAACTTTGCTACCTTGAAAGGTTATGGAAAATCCTCTGAGGAATAGCTGAGGAAAGAGTCTTTTTGATCTTTTCTGTTATTACCATTCTCATGTTCTGAGCATTATGTATATATTCTTAATATCGTCTGCTGGGAGATGTCACACTGTTACTACCAGGAGCTTGGTCTTAAAACAATGTGTTTTATACACTTAATATCTTGAGTGTCCATGTTTGATTCTTACTTTACCTAGGTGTTGCACCTACAGGGCACATCTTTTTTTTTTTTTTGGGGGGGGGGGGCGGTTGAAACATGTGCTAGACTGAATGTATGCATTTAAGTCTTATTTATATACTAAGAAGTAGTTACTCCTGAATTGGAGTAATCCCTGAAATCAGAAAAATCTGAAGTGCCTTTTCAGTATTATAAATAAACCTGAAAAAATGTTTGGCAGAATTCCCAAATATTGTTATTTATTTATATCCAAAGACTCAGTCTTTAGTCTAGAGTTGTATTTCCTGAAATTTAGTACCAGGAATCATTTATAGAAGATTTGAGTTAAAATTGGCAATAACTACACAAATTCTTTGTTTTATTAATATATTGAGCATCTGCTGTAAGATGGTTCTGCAGAAATCAGCACGAAATATGTTATTATTAGCTTATTATTTATACTGCAACTGCAGTATAAGACAAACCCTTGAGGTGGAACAAATGTGAGTACACACACACACCCCTAATCCCTTTATAAAGAGCTTCTCAACCATGGCACTATTGACATTTTGGATTGAATGATTTTTTGTAGTGGGATGTTCAGCAGCATCCTTGTCCTCTGGTCAATAGAAGCCAAAAATGCCCCACTTCTCACAGCCATGACAATCAAAAGTGCCTCTGGACATTGCCAAATGTCTTTTTTTTTTTTTTGATGGTGGGAGAAGGTAAAATCATTAGGTTAGAACTACTAGTCCAGAAATTCAAGAACTCAATTAAGCTTTCCATCTTCAGGAGATAGACAAATTGACAACTCCTATAATTATGTTTGTGGAAGTACTGGCTTAAGCCTTTTGAATTTTTGAATCTAAAAAATGTTTAAAAATAACTTTATTATGCAAAGTGAAAGTGAACATGCCAATTACAGAAATTTATTTGTAGATGATGTGTATCATTATCTACTTAACATTGATATTAATCTTATTTGAAACAGTTTCTTGTCTAATTCTGTTATCAGCATTTAGCTAAAGTTATAGACATGTTTGAATGTCAAAACCCTCTCCTTCCAGTTGGTTTTCTCTCTTTTCTTCATTTCATAGTTGTGTATGCTCCATAATAGTATACCAGAAGGGAGAAATTATTTAATGATATCTTGTCTGTATAAATTATTTTCTTTTATTGATAGTACTGTAAGCTTGAGATCTAATCATTGATTGTATTGTTGGCTTTTATTCCTTCTCAGCTGTGTAATTTAATTGAAACATTATAGAATGATTTATATGGTTATATGTCTGGGATAATTAAGCATGCTGAAATGAAACTACACCCCCCTGGGGAGTATACAGGTAGAGGATGCAGTGAGAAATTATCATCTCTGAATGGTGCATTTCTTGGGTCTTTATAGTTGTGTGAGTTTCATGCTGTAAACTGTATTTCTTATATATGTAATATGATTCTGTGTCTTAGAAGATAATGGAATGTGAAATGTTTTGAAGAAGAAATAATCTGTTCATCAAAGTCCACTCTTTTGGCTAAGAATTTTTTAATATATATGAATTCAATGTATAGTAGAAAGAGAAGGAAATCAGTTATTTCAAGTTGTACTTTCAGATCTCCAGTATATAACCATTTAAGAATTTGAATGAAAACTATACTTTGTTGTGTAAAAGTTTTTGCACAAGTATAGGCATAAATCCTATAATATACTTTTTCTGTGTGATCTGAAAAAAACACCTAAAAGTAGAAAACCAAATGATACCTCAAGTGTGAAACAGCTGAAGAATGTTGGCTCTTTTGATCTTTTGTAATAGCTGTAGAATCTGTCATTGAAATTTACATAAAGGAAAAGGCTTGTTTAGTATTGAGACTTAAAATAGTTTTAGATCTCACTGGGGGTTTTTATGACATAATTTACAGGCAACACTAAAATTGGGGTATCTATTATTGACTTATCTATTATTTACTTGATTTTTAAGAATATTTCTGCAATAATTTTAGTTTTTAAAAACTAGTTCTACCATTAAAAATAAACTTTAAGAAAATTATGCAAGGGAGCTACTAAGGAATGAAATTAACCAAATCATGTTATGAACATATGTATTTATAATAACAAAGCCCACTATTATGTATAATTATAATATACCAATAAAAAGTATATAAATTTAAAAGATCATTTTTGTAATCCCAACTACTTGGGAGGCTGAAGCAGGAGGATTGTGACTTCAAAGCCAGCTTGGGTAATGTAGTGAGAACCTGTCTAAAAACACACCAACCTACAAAGCCTATTCACTAGTAATGTATTATGGTATTTATATTTGAAATGATAAATGAGTATACTAAACTGAAAAGGTGAAAGCCAGCATTTACTTTGCAAGATTTTATTTTTCATTGGTTGTGCATAGCAATTTTTTTATGTTATTTGTAGTTAATATGTGGGGGTAAAATTTTAACAAAATATGGGAAATGATTTTTTAATCAGGTGTGCATTAACTGGAGATATTGCTTTGGGAAAACAGATAAACTTTGCCCTCCATTTTTATCTTTTAATATAGGGAATATGGATTTTATGGTCTATAAGGTGGCCCTTGCTTAAATGTAAAATCTATTTTGACAGTCTTTTGTAATAATTTTTTTCTCATTTAGGGCAGTGCATACTCTAAAAGAATCAAATAGAAATGTTCTTTTGTTTATGGATTGCTAGGCAGAACATTCTTTAGCATTTTAGTTAGTTAATTGTTAATTGTCAAAATTTATGTGGGGTCAAATTTGTCTTACTATAATGTTACTTTGCACAGTCCAGATTTGGAAATAAATATTCATGTATGCAGTACATCACATTAACCACTGGGTGGCCTAATTTCACTTTTAAAATCAACCTGGTAAAATTTTATTCCTTGAATGCAGTGGACTTAAAAGTAAATGCTCAGTTACCATTTCACCAAAAAGTATAATAAAGATATATTTTTTGCTTATGATAAAGATTTCAGACCTGAGGCAGTTTGTGATTAAAAATGTGATTGAGGGGCTGGGTTGTAGCTCAGTGGTAAAGTGTTTGCCTAGCATGCATGAGGCATTGGGTTCGATCTTTAGCACTACATAAAAATAAACAAAATAAAGGCATTCTGTCCATCTACAACTACAAAAAAAGTTTTTTAAAAAATGTGATCGAGTTGAAGCAAATTTACTACAGCAGATTCTATGGAACTACTGATATTTCTCTAATTTCAGACCATTAGTTACTTTTTCAATAAAAATAAATTTTGAAAAATTTTCAAATTCTTCCTTTGGCTACCTCATTTTACTGTTTTTTTTTTTAAATTTGTGTGTGTATGTATGTGGTATAATTGTTGTCCTTTAAAATCAAACTTCTCCCAAATGTTTTATCTTAATATCATCAACTGAGGATAGTTTGTGTATTATTTCATGGGTAAAGACATGACTATACATCCTATTTGCTTACATCTTCTAAGATGTAAAGTTATGCTTAATCATTTTCCTGGCTTGATGTGTTGTAGAATTTTTAATGCTTCTTTTTGCTGTTTCATAATTACCTTGATCACTTTGTTCATTCATAATTTACAAAACTATTTTCATATGAATATAGTAGTTGGTTATATATTAGGCATTTATAGAATAAATATTTTCTTCAACTTAAAAAAATGGAAACTGGCAAAATAATTCAGGAAACCAGGTCTTAGACTGGAGAAATATTTTGCTCTGTGACTGGAGAAATAATTGACCTTCTTTTGCTATCTTGATTAATCCCATTAGCCTAGAAATGGTTCATTTATTTAATTACATAGTAGGCAGCTCAATTTCATTGAATTATATTACCAAAACCTATTACTACAGTACAGAAATGCCAAAAGATGGCATAACAAATAGAAAAATAGAGCAGATATGTTTTGATAATTTCTAACTCTTATTGAGCAATGAGACTGTTTCATTTTTAAATGAATGTTGGTAAGGTTATTTGCAGAGATTTTCATTTTTTTCTTGGTATATTATAGGCTTTCTTGGGCATCTTCCTATTGTTGTTAATGATGACACATTTTGGGGATCTTCTGTCACTCTTCTTTGAAAGTTATATTCTTTTCAATAATCATTTAGTATGTATAGAAATGGGTATGGTCCAATGGTAGAGTGCTTGCCTACCTTGCACAAGGCCCTGAGTTCAATCCCAGCTTCACCGCCCCCCACACTCATGCACAATAATAACTTGATGCCAAAACTAAGAAGTAGGTCAGTTAGACTCTAGGAAAGTCCCAGTGGTAGAGAGGTGATTCTAAGAATTCTAATTTAATGTTCCCTCACACTCACCGACTCAAAAAACCCAGCTTCCTGACACTGAATGGGCTATATATATATATATATATATATATATAGCTCATTGTCTGAAACTTTTGACCATGTTGAATGTAAAATGTATAAATGAAACCTTATGTAAATGTAAAAATTTCTCACAAAGTATGTGGTTAAAAAATATGGGGCTGAATTTTAAAGTTAAAATGAACAAGTTTTTAGGAATATTACTCCTTGATCACTGGTCTTTTTGACCAAAGTAACATTTTTGAACACATAGCCTTATGACATTTTGATAAGAACTTTAAGGTGGATTTTGTACAGATTAGATGTGATATAGATGCTTTTGTGAATATTCAAGACTATGTGGTCAAATTCCCAAATTAAAAATTGTTTTGACTTAGAAATAACCTATTTTTTAAAAAAACACTCAAGTACTCTTATGGAAGCTATTTGGATGTGAGGGGAGGGAGGGACAGGAGAACCTGTGACTAGCATGCCTGAGGGTTGTTTGGGGTGTAAGAAAGTGGTAATATTATTGGCATTTCTAGGGAAGATTAGGCAGCATAGGAGACACCCTCAAAGAACTCCTTCTGTACTGAATTTTTAAAAATGTTTGTTTCAGCAGGTTCTGCTTCTTAAAATTCTACCACTTGGAGGTGAATTTGGATTCTGAGAGTCCATTTTAACAAATGGGAATGCCTTCCACCTCCTCCTAGAGGTATTTTAATTTTTTTTTAAAATTTTTCTTTCTCATATCCCCTTTGAAATCACACCTGTATTGAGAAAGATGAAAATTTTGGTTGGGTTTGAAGGGAATGAGATAATTTTGGAATATGATATAGCACTTGAGGAAGGTGGAAGGATAGGAAGGATTGCTCATTAATCTTACAAATATTTGAATGGCAGGTACTGAGCTTGGTCGTCAGAGGTGAGCATGGTAAACATGGCCTCTGTACTCTTGAGTTTACTGTTGGTTGAGGAGGTTGTGAGAAACATTAATGGAAGAAAGAGTAGATGCTCTGAGTAAACAATATTATGGAGCTTTATCTGATTTAGTAGCTTAGAATTTATGAAGTCATTGGACCCTGAAGCACATCCAAATTAAGTTTGCTCTTGGGTAATGAGGTGACATTTCTGACAGTTGAAGATGGCTGCCAGTAGCAGGTATTTCCTTTAATTAACCGTGTGTTTTTGTTTTGTGCATAGTTAAACAAACAACCATGGAAGGAAGGGCTGGCAGATTATTGTTAGAAGAAAGATTGGCTTCAGGGAAGAACACTGGAAAATTAAAGTGTTTTGAAATACAGAAATAGATAAAAAGAATCATAAATAAGAAAATAGGGGATCTTAATGTTTTCCCTGTTCAGATGTGAACAATTTTGATCCTTATCATGTTAAAGAAAAAGAATCAGGGAGAAGGGGTAGGCTATGGAAAGTTACTGGAGAGTAAAATTGGTCAAATAATGTTACATGCCTGTACCAATGCACTGCAATGAAACTCCCACCATTCTATATTATTAATTGCACAACCAACAACAAAAAGTTTTGTTCCTATGGAATTTGAAAAGTCAGAGGAAATTAAAAGTTCCTGCAAAGATCTGTAAACAATTTACATTAAATCTAGGCCTTTATATTTCAATTTTGTAAGACTGAATGTAATATATTTAGATACTAGGCACTCACATGTTCTTAACTATATTACAGTAAGGTTAGACAAATCTTCAAACTCTTGCTGTTTGAAATCAGAATGAATTTTTGGAAAAGAGTTAAATCTAGTAAAGCAAAAATAATTTTGAGTTCTGTTAGGTAATCAGATTATGAACATCATATAGGGCCACTTTTCTGTGTCAAGTGTTGAATGAGGTGTTCAATATATTTTCTCATTTAATTTTATCCCTAAAGCAACACTGGATTTATATGCATTTTGCAAATAAGTTTACTAAATTCTTGAGAGGTTAGTATGGTCTGGGTTACAGAAAAGTTAGAACTAAAGCCTTGTTCTGATTTCAAAATGCACTTGAGGTTTGTCTTTAGTATCTTCCAGCTGCCTAGTACTCTTTCCTGTGTTTCCAGTTTGTTATAGAAAATGGTTAAGTAATGGACTTAGAGATCAGCCATACCATATTCAGTGGATAGTTGTTAATAAGTTAACTTTTCTAACTCAAAATTTTATGTTCTGTGAAATGTCAATGATAATAATATTTCCTTTTTCTGGTTGTTGTAGTTTTAAGAGAGCCTCATGGGCTACCACAATGTCTGGTATTTAAAGTTTTAAATAAACCTTAGCTTTATTCAGTCCTCTGGATACTCCTTTAACTTAGTTTATTATAGAAGCTTGCCCTCTCTTTTTTGGCTTTATTCCTTAAAATTCCTTTTTTTCCCCCACTTCATAAAAACTCAGATTCTGACTTTGGACTCTTCTTCACTATGTTAATTTTCCGTGGGACATCTCATGGCCTCAACTGTTCTTTGTATCTTGCCAATTGCCAGTCTGTGTCTCTACTCTAGATCTTGTATCTGAACAGAAGAACCATGTGCTCATTGCCTTTTAGATCTGCTCTACCCAATAGTAAAAGATGAAAAAATTTACATGATCTGAAGAGACACCAGAATATTGTTTGACCCAATAGGATAGGTATTGGCAACATGTGGCTGTTGAGCAATTGTAACTGAATTACAGTGTACTATAACTACAAAATACCAGATTTTGAAGACTTCAGTTAGCGAAAAGAATGTAATATTTCATTTATAATTTCTATTTTGATTATGTGTTGAAATGATTATGCTCTTGATATACTGGGATAGATAATATTTATTAAAATTAATTGCAACCATTTCTCTTTAAAAAAATATGGGTACTAGAATATTACATATGTGGCTTGCATTATATTTCTTTTGGGTAGTTATTTTCTAGATGTATCCCCCTGTGTATTTCTCAAGTACCTTGAAAACACCTAATCTAAACTATAGTTACTTTCTCTCCCTCCTCCCAAAGTCGTATTTCTCCTACCTCTGTTCCCTTCCTTAGAAAATAGTTCTAGTTATATTCTCAAAGTGATAAATTTTGTTATCTTTGATTCCTCCTCCTTTCATGTCCCTCATAGCCCTAAGTTTCAAAAGTCTTTTATTTCTACATTTTAAATATTTGTCAGTTTCATGTACTTCTTTCCATTTACTATGGTATCTGGATTGGTCACTTTTGTGGATTCTGAATTTTTGACACATTTACCTCTCTTTTGCTCAAGAACATAAAGTAGAATTCTTCTCTACTTTTTAATAGTACTTTTATGATTTTCATTTTAAAAATGTAAATATTTGTTTAATCTAAATTAATTTTATTGTAAAATAGGACTCTAGTTTTTAAAAATGACTGCCCAGTATTTTGATACCATTTATTGAAAAGTCTGTCTTTATCACATTGATTTGAAATGTTGCTGTTATAGCTTACTGAATTTTATATGGATTTTCTTTTTTGAATGTTCTCCTCTGTTACATTTATGTGTATCTCTATTCATGTGCCAGTACCATTTTGTTTTATACTTATTGTTTCTCTACAGTATATTTTTACATATTAGGTAATGCTAATTCTCTTACTATTAATTTTTAGACCTTTCCTTTCTGTATAAGTAATAGAATCAGGGGCTGGTGTTGTAGCTCGGCGGTAGAACACTTGCCTAGCATGTGTGAGGCATTGGATTTGATCCTCAGCATGACACATAAATAAATAAAATAAAGGCCCATTGACAACTAAAATATATATATTAAAAATAATAATAGAATTAGTTTGTTTAATGCCTCACCAAAGTCTATTGGTATTTTCATTTATTTTAAATTTATAAATTAATTCAGGGAGAATGGACAATCTATAATTCTGTTATCCAAGTACGTGGTCTAGATATTTTTCATTTGTTCCATTTTCTGTTTCATAAGAGTGCTTACCCTTTATCATACATTGATTTTATACATTAAGATTATTTCTAGATGTTTAGTCCTTTTGTCATTGATATTAGTAATGGATCACTTCTTCCATTGTGTCTTTGAACTGGCTTTGGTTTGTATTTTACCATTCCCATTTGTCAGATGTAATAATTTCTTGCTTGGGTTATTATGAATATTACTAATTGGTGTTCCTTCTATTTCACCACAGTTGTGTCATTAATTTTTTTTCTAAAACACAAGATATTTGTTTTTTCTTCCCCATTGAAGCCATTTAGAGAATAAAGATCAAATAAAGAATAAAGGCCATCTTCTTAGAATGACATATAAAGTTATGATTTGGCTCTTGGTGATATATACAGCCTTATCTATTTGGTGTCAGTAAGAATTGTAGCTCTTCCCCATTGTATGACTTAACTTTTTATACTTTAAATAATCTCATTGGGTATATATTATTTAGTCTGAGTGGCTTCTTCATTCATACCTTCATATACAGGTTCAATGATTGAATTCACTAATTTAAATAAAATTCCTTATTTTAAAAATTGTGTGGTTTTTTTTTTAATAGTGAGGATGAGGATGATGACCTTCAGTATGCTGATCATGATTATGAAGTACCACAACAAAAAGGATTGAAAAAACTCTGGAACAGAGTAAAATGGACGAGAGATGAGGTAGTTATCTGGCGAGATTTCTTAATTTTGTACTTATATGTATGATAAATTAATACTATTGTAGTTATGGAAGATATTTAAAAACAAATGGAAAAGTTGTCCATAACTTGCACATTCTTTTTCTTCTGTCAGAGACATGAATAACTTACTGATATTGGGGCTGACAGAAATAGTATGGAGGAACTTTTATGATAGTGGCTTTAGTCCTATAAATGGTCACTAGCTATGACTTGACAGAATGGAGAGTTGCCTGTGTTCAAAGGTTTAGGAAAAGGATGGGGGAAAGCTTTCTAATTTTTAAATCTGTTTTAATAGGATGATAAGTTGAAGAAATTGGTGGAACAACATGGAACAGATGATTGGACGCTAATTGCTAGTCATCTTCAAGTAAGTGAAGTGTTAAATTATATATCTAACATGACTGATTTAGGACATTAGGTTATGTTTGCTATTTTTAAAAAATGTGTCTACATATTTTATACTTAGGTTTCCTTTCTAAAAATATCCTTATTTTTCTGGTCTGCTTGTAGTTGGTTGCTAATGGCTTAGAGAGTCTGATTTTGTAGTACAGGTTGAGCATCCCTAATCCAAAAATCAGAAATCCAATTTCTTTAAAATCTAAAACTTTTTTGAGTGCCAACATGACACCATAAGTAGAAAAATTTTCACACCTGATGTCATGTAATAGGTCACAATAAAAATGCAGGTACACTAAAAATATTATGTAAAATTTTCTTCTAGTTATGTATAGAAGGTATGTATGAAACATATGTGATTTTGTGTTTAGATTTGAGTCCCATTGCAAGATGTCTCATTATGTATAAGCAAATATTCCAAACAAACAAAAAACCCTAAAGTACTTCTGGTCTCAAGCATTGTAGATAAGGGATACTCAACCTATAAAGATTTGTTCATGGACCAAAAGACTACCAATATAAAACAAAAATAACATGAAGTTTGGGTATTGCTTTATAAATATTTGTGATATTATGTTAAAATATTTTGAGAGAATTTAAATATTGAAATATTTTGATAGCTAATTAGTCAAATCAGGAAGAACTGTTAAAAAGTTTATCATCCAATTCCTAGATTTTAAAGTGTTACTGATTTTTAAAAAAATTATCTTTATTGTTCATCATACTAATATTCACATACTATTTGTTAGTATGTAATTTTATAACCTACAAAGTATATTTACATATACTTTTATTAACTTCCTAATATACTGTGGGTAGTTAGACAAAATACTCACATTTGAATTGACTACTTTGTTTCAGAAACCACATTATCTGTATTCTTTCTATGTTGTCATAATGCCCCTTAACATAACTTGAAAATTGAAATCAAATAATGTAAAGAATAAGTTTTGGAGTTAGTCTGAATTGTGTTCAAATGTTAGCTCTACTCACTTAGAAAAATTATTTAATTTCTTTGACCTTCAGCTTTCCTATCTATAATAGGTAGATAATACTACTCATTTCTAAAGTATTATTGTGAGAATTAGAAATAATGTATAAGAAATTCAGTGTGGTTCCTGACATTTACCAGGTGTTCAATAAATGGAAACTAAATTAGAAAAATTATTTACATTAGCTTTATGTCCTTTAAGTATGTGTGTGCTGCAAGGACATATGAGAATAACCTGATTATTTTGAAGAAAGGAGTAGCCTTAAAATGATATATGCATTGATATATACAAGCCATAACTGAAGAAGCTCAGTTTGAAAAAGAGTTATTTGAAGTCCATTGGCACAAAGCCATTGGCAGACAAAATATTTATATCTATCTCATTATATTTTTCCATGTTATCTGTAATCTTGTGTATGAACTAGTAACTTTGTAAACTATGAATCTATAATGAAATATTAGGTATTATTGTTATTTTCCTTATAATACATTATAGTTACTAGGTCATGAGAAGATTAAAATAAGGCTTCATTTATTAATCAATTTTGTGGTTTAAGATGTTTCTACATAAAGTTTTCTCATTCTGGCAAATTCATTTTCCTTTTAAGTGTTAACTTAACCAATTTAATTGAAATGTAATGGAGATCTTCTGTACAGATATATTTAGTGTTTTCATAGTAACTTGGGGATCATTTATAAACATCCTTTTAATGCTAGACAGTAGTAAAGTCATGCCTTTAGGGTTTTTAAAAATTGTTTTATCTAGATTGGGGACTACTATGTTGTTTGAGTTCTTATGTCTGCTTTGTGTAGTTTTCTGCCTTTGGCCTTTTATTCCTCAATCTTTGATCTATTTCTGTATTAGGAGGATCTTGTGTAATACATGTGTTGTTTGCTGTATTATAAGACATAGTGTAAGATACATATTTTAATTTCAAATATATTGTCTTTATTTGTAATCTAAGCCCTACTAATTAATTTTAAAAAACAAAATTGGGGTATAGACATGAAAAATAAACATTACATGTCAACTATACTATTTTTGAAGACTTGTTCTTAAAAGCATGAGATATAAGTTTGGATTGACTTGCTTTCTGGAAGACAGTTGTTCAATAATATTTTCCAAATTCTTTCAGAACCGTTCTGATTTTCAGTGCCAACATCGATGGCAGAAAGTTTTAAATCCAGAATTGATAAAGGGTCCTTGGACTAAAGAAGAAGATCAGAGGGTAATGTGTTCATGTTTTTTTATGCTAACCTTATAGATGCACTAGCTTTTTTCCCTCACTAATTGGTAGTTTTAACACATAAAGTATGTATGTAAATCACTTGATTTTGTGCTCTAGAGGCTGTTTGCTAAGAATTGAATGTCAAGTACTTAAAATGTAGTTTTTTTTTTGTTTGTTTGTTTTTTTCTGAATTGGGTCAAACCAAATTAATATATATAGCCCTTTGTTTCTGAGAGTTTGAAGAATATAAGAAAATGCCTACTATGTGTGTTTAATTACCTTGTTTAAAGCTTGGTTTAGCAATATTTAGGATGTACTTTCCTGTCAAAATTGAATTCACATATTAAAAATATTTTAATTTTATTTTTACATTTAACTTGAATTGTAAGGAAATCATTCTTATTTCTTCCTTTTGACCTTTAATGAACCCCAAAATTAGATATCAGGGCATGATATTTCCAAAGTATTTATAATTTAAAAACCAAGATCATTTGTTGTGCAATAAAAGTTGGAGAAGAATAGAAGAATTTTTGACCCTGACTAGGAATTATTTTATGATCTTTAAGTCATGTAAGTTGCTAATATAGTTGGGGAGTTAGCATTCTTACTACTACGTACAACAGTTTTAAAAGTTACTTTACTAGAATCTGATTTCCTTGATAACTGATGGCAAGTTTTAAAATGTGTGACCTTGTTTAAAAATACATTTAATAAATTCAGAATTTTATTTTTTAAAATATAGTAAATAGACACATATAGTGAAAATATTATTATATATTAAATTTAAATATATAAACTGTTAATGATGTGATATTTGACAGTGAGGCAAAGTGGTGATGAGGTAAAGTAGTCTAGGAATAACTATTTTTACAATTTTTAGGTAAAATAAAAACAAACTTAAAATGTAGGGAAAATAATGCATAACCTGTATGTTTTTCAGTTTGAGAAAGGAAATGTGAAAAGCCAATAACTATAGTTACTTCCTGCTTCCAAATTGGTTTATTGGACTTTCTGTTTGATTTTTTTTAAGATATAAGAGTAGAAAATATACATGTCTCAATGTCTTTACTATTATTTCCTATTAAGTTTGTATAGAAGCAGTTTTACTTATGAGTCACTTTAATTAGACCCTTGGATTTTAGATAAGTTTGTAATCTGTGTTTAAACTTGTCAAATACTGAAGATTTTTTATTAATGAATTTATTTTTATAAATTGTTGTTGTAGCTTAAATTTTATGCATTTATTAAGATGTTATTCTTGTGCTGGGATTGTAGCTCAGTAGTAGAGCACTTGCCTAGCATGTGTGAGGACTGGGTTTGATTCTCAGCACCACATATAAATAAATAAAATAAGGTCCATTGACAATTAGAAAAAAAGAATAAGAAATTCTTCTTTAAAAAATGCTATTCTTTAAAAGAGAATAAAATCATGGCAGTAAATGGATGGAATTGGAGAATATAATGCTAAGTGAAGCAAGCCAATCCCAAAACACCAAAGGCCAAATTCTTTCTTTGATATGAGATGCTGACTTATAATGGCGATGGGAGGAATGGAGGAACTTTAGATAGGACAAAGGGGAGGGAGGGGAAGGGAGGGGGCAAAGGGATAGGAATGATGGTGGAATAGACATCATTGCCCTAAGTACATATATGAAGACATGAATGGTGTGAAAATACTTTGTTACAATCAGAGACTTGAAAAATTGTGCTCTATATGTGTAAAATGAAGTGAATTGCATTCTGCCATCATGTATAACAAATTTTTAGAATAAATAATTTTAAAAGATGCTATTCTTAATGTCTTTTTAAATTTATTTATTTTTATTTTAATTTTTTTTTGTGGTGCTGGTGATTGAACCCAGGACTTCATGCATGCTAGGCAAAGTGTCTTACTACTAACAGATACCCCAACCCCAACTGTCTTGAGTTATGTTTTAAAATGCTTTTTTTAAACTTTGCTTCTTAGGTTATTGAACTGGTTCAGAAATATGGACCAAAAAGGTGGTCTTTAATTGCAAAACATTTAAAAGGAAGAATAGGCAAGCAGTGTAGAGAAAGATGGCATAATCATCTGAATCCTGAGGTAAAGAAATCTTCCTGGACAGAAGAAGAAGACAGGATTATCTATGAAGCGCATAAGCGGTTGGGAAATCGTTGGGCAGAAATTGCCAAACTGCTTCCTGGAAGGTGCTTATATAAATGTATATACATGTTTCTGTACTTAAACATGACCTTTATTACTTTACTATTAAATATATTTGCAAGAACCCCATGGCTTTTATTTATAATTAAAATTAGACTACATAATACAAGCATCCATTTGAGATCATTTGTAATAAATTCTGGAGTAAGGAATATTATTATTTTTATAATGAAAATTTATAGCAATAATTTCTACAATAAAATGATAGACATTTAGATTATGTAAACATTTAAGACATTCAAAAAGTCATGTTTACACATCAAGGCAGGCAGATCCTACTTATACAAACTGTGTTGAAGTGGAATCTGATTTCTTTCATATTGGATACTATGTACAAAACCAGATAATGAATTACAAATACACTGGCTGAAATAAGCTGTTGTGAAAATGTTAGGAAAAATCAGTTTTTAATTAGTTGTGGTATAATTTCAACTGTGGAAGTAAGTGTATGTATAAAATGTAAAATATAGCAAATAGAGCAAATGTGTTCCCTCAGAGGCAGTGTGATGTCTTACATTCACTCCACATTGTACTGGTGGGGATGTTTTTTGTGTAGTCTTTAGTATGGCAGACCAGCAATCTTGGGGCATTTTATACCTCACTCAAAAGATATGCATTTGTTTTTTATTGCTGTAATCTCTATCTATATAGTACTTTTAGTGTGTAAAGTGCTTTTACATATATTCTTGATTAATCTTTACATGCTTGGGAATTATGCAAAGCAAACATTACTGTCTTTGTTTTGTAGATAAGGAAATCAAGACAGTGTTAAATTTTTTATCCAGGTTACTAACCCTGGACTAGGAACTTCTGATGTTTTCAGTCTCTTATACATCTATACTTTCTGTAGAACCTAGCTTAGTACCTTCATATGAAGTAGTTTTTCAATAAATACATTTTTTATGCAGGATGGAATTTATACTACAAATAGCTACAGGTTGAACACTTACATTTCTATAAAGGGAGCCAGTGAGCTCTTTCTATAAATATTTTGTTCTAAGAAGTGAAAAAAGAATACTAGTATTCTGTAATTTGTGGTTTACTTTTCATGACCATGTTTATTCCTAGTCTTTGTACTCACTATACTCTTTATCTGGAATGCTCTTTTTTTCTTTTTTCGTATGGTTGGTCATTTTCGTCATTCAGATCTTAGTTTCACTGTTACCTCATACAGGGCTTCTTGGACCACCTCGTCAAAATTACCCATTACCCACTTTTCTCATCCTACTTTAATTATCTACATTGCATTGGTATTTTTTTAAATTTAGTTGTAGATGGACACAATATCTTTATTTATTTTTATGTGGTGCTGAGGATCGAACCCAGTGCCTTACACTCTCAAGGCAGTCGCTCCACAACTGAGCTATAGCCCCAGCCCCTGCATTGGTATTTTTCTTATTTTTGGTTTTTCTTTTCTTCCTTCCTTCCCTATGACCACACTTCTAATGAGAACGTAAGTTCAGGAGAGTAGGAACCTTCTTTGTCTTATTCACTGAAGTACTTCTGATGCTTAAAACTGTGCCTGACATATAGACATACCGTTTATCTTTAGAATTTTTAAAGAAGTATCTGATTTCATCAGTTGTAGAAATTTGTTTTAAGCTTTTTGTGCAAGTTATACAGTATTAAAATTTGTGGAATCCTTTTTTCCTTTTCAAATTAAACACTTTTATTTCTTAGGACTGATAATTCTATCAAAAATCATTGGAATTCTACTATGCGAAGAAAAGTGGAACAGGAGGGCTACTTACAAGATGGAATAAAATCAGAAAGATCTTCATCAAAACTTCAACACAAACCTTGTGCGACTATGGACCATTTGCAAACCCAGAATCAATTTTACATACCTGTTCAGGCACATATTTTTAATACCTTTATTTTTTTTAAATTTATTTAGTTGATATATGGAAAAGGTGTTTGATTTCTTAATAGGACAAATACAACATATACTAAGGGAGGAGAAAGATATACATTTCCAAACTAAAAATAAAATGTCATAATTTTGACAAATATAGTGTAGTTTCCATTTAAAAAATATTATGCATAATTGTAGTAGTCTTATAGGTGTGTAGAAAATGGTCTAGGGAAAAAATAGTAAAAAATCATTCAAGCTATCACTTTGGAGGTATAGTAAATAATTTGATGTCTTTAAGCTCTGTTTTCCTCTAATAACCAATGACTTGAGTGATTGTAGTCTTTGTTAGGCAGATTCATTAAAATAGAGATTACCAACTCAAAACAGGGCAAGTTCTGTGTTGTTCCTTGCAGTGCATCCTCCTACCTGCAAGAATTTAGTTTAGGAGTCTTCATAAGGTTTGTTTTACCTTTTCCTATCTATCTGTTAATGTCATTTTTTTGTGATAAACCTAGGTTCTTTTCATGTAAAATATAAAGATTATATCAGAACTTAATAGTATCTACCAAAATATAAAGTAGGTCAAGGTGTTAATCTGTGCTTACTATACCTCAAATTTTATTTTATTGTACATTTTGTGGACATTTAAAAAAATTTTTTTAGTTGTATATGGACTCAATGCCTTTATTTGTTTTTATGTGGTGCTAGGACTGAACCTAGTGCCTCACACTTGCAAGGCAAGTGCTGTAACATTGAGCTACAAATCCAGCCCATGGACATTGTTTTTAGACATACTGTTAAAATAACCATTTAAAGTAATGACATTTTTAGTTTACAAATAGGAAAATGTGAAGACAGTATAGTTATCTGCTGATATTGAACCTTAAGGTTTTTATTGTCTGTTTCTTTACATTTTTCTTTAGAGTCTTAAATTTTAATAGCATAAACTTGAAACTTTCTGTTTCTATCTCAGAAATGTTACCATTTATCTCTTTAACATATATAAAGATAATTTTTTAAAATTATTTGGACCCAGGGGGTATTTAGCAGTCTCAGTAAAAATTGGAACTATAAGGACATTTATTTTAAGAATTTTTTCCCTTTTAATAATCTTAGATTCATATATTCATAGTTCAATTAGTTTAAACAATTAAGAGGGTAATTCTAATTTTATTATAAAGTGTACTTAGAGAAAAAATGCAGTGGTTTGAAATACTGTCTCAAATTTTGAAATATTTGAGAAAGAGAAATTTCTAATTCATTGGTGGTACCAAGTAATACTTGATACTAATTGAGTATTATAAATGTTCTGTTAGTAATGTATGATTTTTGCAGTAGATGGTGATTTAGGTAGGTCATTATAGAAAGTAGATAATTTCATATTTATATTTGTTTGATTTAAAATATTTTCACCACTGCTCAGGTGCAGCTTCATAATTCTTTTTTTTTTTTTTAACTTTTATTTATTTTTATGTGTACTGAGGATCGAACCCCCAGTGCTTCACCCTTGTGAGGCAAACACTGTATCACTGAGCCCCTGTCTCCCTTTTTCTTAACTCCAGCCTCCCCTTTTATTTTTTTGAGAAAAAGGAAAATGAAGGATTATTGCTTTGCTAGCAAAGGAGAAAAACAGGGAACTCCCGTCTCAAAGACTGTAATTCTGCCCATCAGCAGAAACAAGGGCTTTTAAAGTGGTGACTTAAAGGTTACATTCCACAAGTACTCCATTGGAGTTGTAATTCGGTTATTAATTTGGGAGCTAGTCCCACCTGATAAATTCTGGTACCATCCCCAAAATCTGGATTACTTCCTTCCTATGGTTGGTGTATACTCTGATACAGGTAACTGCCTAGGATGGGGAAGAGATTAGGGAGGAGCAGGGAGAGAGAAAGAGAAAGAAACATGTTCATTTAAGAAATAAATTGTGTGGCAGAACAGCAGGGTTATATTCAAAGCATAAAGTGGACCACTCTTACATTTCCTCACTATCAATTTCTACATTCCATTTCTATGGAAAAATGGGCAACAACATCTCTAAACTGCTTCCTGCTGAGAGGGATCGAAGTTGGAGGAAGTAATCAAAAAGTCCTTGTTCTCTATCAGGTGGGCCATGGACAGTTAAGGGCATTCAGCATCAGAGTAGTCCAGAGGTCCACAGTGGCTGATGGCAGGTGACTGGACAGGGTATACACAGGGCTGGCATGCTAAGACAACAAAGGCAGCAAAGCATTACTTTTTTGTAAATAATTAGCACAAAAACAATTAGTATTTCAGACAGTCTCTCAAAACCATAAGGACAGTAATTTATAATCTTATCAGTGAAAAACAAATCAAGTTCATCAATGTAGAAGGGTAGGAATATTTGTAAGTCTATGAAATCAGACTCAAATTAACTCAGGACATTTGCGACTTGTGATCATTATTAGGCACTCTCACACAAGAACCCTTCCTTTATAGCCTCCAGCTTTACTTAGTATTATGTTTTAGAAATGAAACAAAATGATGCTCCGAGCATCTATTAAAAGTACATGAGTAATTATTATTATTTTCCCAAGATAACTAATGTAAAACTAGTCTATTTTCCTTTCTTTCTACTTAGATTGGCATGAAGTGGTACGGGAGGAATTTAGGAGATAAAAGCATTCTTGTGAAAGCTTTATATGGACTAGTCCCTTCCTCTGATAAATAAAAACAATGTTTTTTTTTTTTCCCCATGAAATAGAGCAATACTTCTGTAGCAGATTAAAAAAATAATTTGTTGGTTAATGTTGATAATAGATAGATGGATTGATTGATAAAACTAGACTAAGTAATTCTCATATTTAATCTAGGAAACAGGGATTTTCCTAGTGTTATGGCTTTCTCTCTAGATTCTAGGAACAGAGATGTAGTTACTAGATAGGAAACTATTGCAGGTTTGAATTTGCAAAATTTTAGAGATGCTTTTTAAGTTGTTGATGTTGACATTTTATCAAAACTTTTTGTCATTTGCCTCAGATTTTAAAAAGTTGCATAGTGTTATATGTGTAATAGTAATGCTTTAATTTTTAGATCCCTGGTTATCAGTATGTGTCACCTGAAGGCAATTGTGTAGAACATGTTCAGACTACTTCTGCCTTTATTCAGGTAATTTTTATTTCCTTTTAAAAAATAAAGGAAATGCTTTCAAACATATTTTTAAGTTGAATAGTGCTTATTTCCTCATCTGTTGAACTAGGATAAAAATGAAACAGTCCTATTTATGTATTGTAATATTGAAAGAGTATGTAAGTGGGTTTGAAAATATAAAATGTACAAATGTAAGATGATGACAGCACTGGTATGGTGATTCATTCTTTCAACTTAAAGCATTCAATCATTTGCTAATAGTATTAATAACTAATAGTATTAATAGAATAGAATATATATTACAATTCAATAAACTAATATATTCCAGACATAAAATTTTCAACTTGTATGGATGATACAGTGTTTTTTAATGCATTCAAATCTTTTCTGCTAATTTTATCAGCACACTTTTAAATACTAGTGGGACTGTGATATATCTAGTGTCTAGGACTTAGTAATATTAAGCTTTATTAGAGAAAATATATTTTAGGTTGTATACAAGAAAATAAAATTAGAACACTACTAATAATAAACCAATTGTGTAAGTAACCTGTTTTTCTCTTTTATTTAACTTGGTTTAGCAACCCTTTGTTGATGAAGATCCTGATAAGGAAAAGAAAATAAAGGAACTTGAGATGCTTCTTATGTCAGCAGAGAATGAAGTTAGAAGAAAGAGACTTCCGTCTGTAAGAAATTAGCTTATTTTATTGTTAGAATGCTTCATAAGTATGTTTTTATAGTTTTTATCAGGTATAAAGCATATTCACTTCTATTTCTGATTTTAATATGGTATAGATATAATTTTTCTAATTTGCAACTTTGAGGTTGCCTGATTTTGATATGCATTTTTCTGAGTGTATTTTACAGTGTTCTGTATTAGGATATATTTTTAAAAGATATTCTGAGTCATAAATTTCAAGCAGACTTAGGGTAAAATCTTCTATCTATATTTGTTTTTTTAAATATATTTGTGACATATATGTATAATTTAGATTAGGCTTTGGTTTAATATTTATTTATTTATTTATTTGGTACCAGGGATTGAACCCAGGGACGCTTAACCACTGAGCCATGTCCCCAACCCTTTTTATTTTATTTAGAGGCAAGGCCTTGCTAAATTGCTGAGGCTGGCTTTGAATTCATGATCCTCCTGCCTCAGGCTCCAGAGCTGTTGGGATTACAGGAATGTGCCACTGCGCTTGGCTTGAGTTTATTTTAGATATTCCATATAATTATGGTTTCAATAGAAAAAATAGAGCTTGGACATTACTTTAATTCTTTTTGAAAAACTTTTCTTACTAACTATTTAGAATATGAATTCAGCAAATTAGAAAAAGTAATAATAAAAATATGCATAAAGGGAACATAAAAAATTATGCTCTCAAAAACTTTCAAAAGAAGAAATTTTGTATTAATGTTGATTTGATTACTAGGTATGAAAACTGTTGTCTGAGATATGGTTAATGAGAATAACTAATAGTATTAAACTGGGATAAATAGTGACCATTCTAGTAGAATTAATCAGGCCATGCTAGAGGATTAAGAGAAAAAAACCCAAATTTATACTTCATTAATAATTTTAAAAGTTTAAAATAATATCTTGAGTCTTTTTGTGTTTAGAAAAGGATTTTATTGACGGAGAGATGAATGAATTGAAAATGACTAGGAATAACCTGAGATCTTGAAATAATATTATGAGGAAATTGGTAATGTTTTTATATTATTTAAGTGGTTATTTAAAAGAATATTTATTAATTGTACTAGGTGAGATATATACTGTAGGAAAAGGAGTTTTTGTTTTGAAACTGCAAAAACTGTAGGCAAATAGGAAGACATGAAGTGTACTTAGCGTTGATTTTTTTTTTCTTTTTTTTTAAGTTACAAATAACAAAGAGTTAACATTTGTAATGATTATATCATGGTAAAAGTTTTTTTTTGGCGGGTGCAGGGTACTGGGGATTGAACTCAGGGACACTCAACCACTGAGCCACATCCCCAGCCCTGTCTTTTTGTATTTTATTTAGTGACAGGGTTTCACTGAGTTGCTTAGCGCCTCGCCATTGCTGAGGCTGGCTTTGAACTTGTGAAAGCAACTTCCTTCTGTAAGAAATTAGCTTATTTTATTGTTAGAATGCTTTATAAGTATGTTTTTGTAGTTTTTATCAGGTATAAAGCATATTCACTTCTACTTCTGATTTTAATATGATATTAAATATTTTGATATCCTGTCTCAGCCTCCTGAGCAGCTGGGATTATAGGTGTGTGCCACCTCATTGGGCTGTTAAAACCATTTTTAATGGTAATGGTAGTCTTATTTTAACCAGGAAAATATAACTAATTAGAAACCAGTAATAATTAGCATCACAATTACATTTTGCATTAAAAAAGGGAGAAAGTTACTAATTTCTTTTTAAACTTGCTATCTAAAATACACTCTCATAAAGATCTGGTTGAATAAGGAATCTTTTGAATTCCAGAGAGGAAGTTGCTGCTGCCAATAGAACAGGCTGCATACACACATATTTATTTTAAACAATTATGTGATAACAATGACCATTTAACTGAGGATCTATTATGTTCCACTCTTGTATCTGTTTTTGTTGTGTATTCTTGGTAATCCTCATTAATTTTGTTAAGTAGCTGAAATGTTTTTGGAGAGTCACATTTAGATTTGTATGATTACAACTCTGTTTGTGGTTTTTTCCTCTTGGCCCAATGACTTCTCTCTTTATCTTTTGAATCTTTTTCCCACCTGAAAAATCAGTTGAAAGGCATATCATTTGGAAGCTATCTCCTGAAAGTTATTGTTAATTGAGAAGGTAGCTATGCTAATGAACTAAGGTTGTTTTAATTTGTTTTATATTTAGGAAACTTTAAAATAGATGGAACTTGTTTTGCAACAGTGTTTTTTCACCTTATTTAGCTTGAAACTTAATATTTTGCTACTGTGAATCTTTTTTTTTGTCCTGGGGATTGAACCTTTTTGAAATATTTTTTTTTAGAGACAGCTTCTTGCTAAGTTGCTTAGGACCTCAGCCTCCTGGCCACTGGGATTATAGGTGCACCACCATGCCTGGCTTGCTACTGTGAATCTTTAGCACAGTTTAGCAAATTTTATGTGTAATAGTAATAGGAACCATTTTTTAACCTTCCAAAAATACATTTAATTTCCCATCCCAGTGTAAAGAATAACATAAAATCTTTATTATTTATTAATGATATCCAGTTACAAAACATTAAATGATATAAGTAGATCCCCAACTAAATTTGTTATTTTTATATAAATCTGAAGGACACTACTGCTACGACAATTTTAGTTTAGAGGACACCAGCTTAATAAAGTGCTTTCCCACTCTTTATATTTTAAAAGAATTGTATACTTTGAGGACATAAGTATATCTAATATACAAAGAAACCAGTAATAATTAGCATCACAATTACATTGATGTCCTTATATTCACTTACTTTTAACTTTTAAAGTAAAATTATAATCCATAGAGTAGGGTAACATCACAAGTCTGCATAGGGTATCAACACTGACAAAAATATCAAAGAGTGGCTTTAAATCTCTTATAAGTTAGGAAACAGTATTAATGATCAGAAATGGAGTTATCTGATTATTAATGCATCTCATTTGTATAATAATAAAATATTTATGAACTAAAGGCAAACAGATATAAACCAGGTTTTTTTAAAAATATTTTTTAGTTGTTGATTTACCTTTATTTTTTATTTATTTGTATGTGGTGCTGAGGATTGAACCCAGCGCCTCATACATACTAGGCAAGTGCTCTGCCACTGAGCCACAACCCCAGCCCTCAGGGTTTTTTTTTAATTGGTTCTTTTTGGTTATACATGATAATAGAATTCATTTTGACATTACTTATACAAGCATGAGATATAATTTGTTCTAATTCAGACCCTAGTACTTCCTCTTTTCCTTCCTTCCTCCCATTCTCTGAGGCATTACTTATTGAGTGCCAAGGAAATTTTTACTTTTAATTAAAATTTATAATCCATAGTGTAGGGTAATTAATGACAAGTCTGCATAGGTTAGCAGCACTGACAAAAAAAAATCAAAGGATAGCTTTAAATTTCTTATGAGTTGGAATGGACAGTGTGCTTTCTACAATATGACAGCTACTAGCCTCAGTTCACTTCCCGTATTTTAGTTGCTACTGGTTTCCATATTGAGCAGCTGCAGATGTAGAACATTTTCATCATCTTAGAAAGTTGTGTTGGACATTCCTATATACTTTGCATATTATTTCTCATTCATGAGTCTTCAGAGTCTCTTCTATTTTTTAAAAAATATTTTTAGTTGTAGATGGATATAATACCTTTATTTTGTTTATTTAGTTTTTTTATATGGTGCTGAGGATCAAACCCAATGCCTCACGCATGGTAGGCAAGTGCTCTACCACTGAGTCACAACCCCAGCCCTCTTCTAATTTTTTATTATAAAACAATAGGAAGCTAGGCTTACAAAATGAATACATTTTCTAGGGTACATCTCTAAAGAAATAAAGAAAAATGAGTCCCTAATGTCAAAGGATATATTTTGCTGTGGGAACATAGACAAGATATCATATCGATATGATAAAATAAATTGTGAAATGTTATGGGAACACATTGGAGAGGGTTCCTGGAAGAAGTCCTATTTGAGCTCATTCTTGAAAGACGGAATAATTATATATTAGCAAGACCGATGAATTAGGACATTATGGAGCAGATAAAAGTATGTAATCATAGGAGTACTTCTCAATATTTGAATTGTATCTTCAATGAAAAATAGAAGTTTCCCTGGTCAGTGGGTTAGGGAACATTCTAAATAAAGTGAGCAAAAGTCTGTGTAAAGGTACTCCAGGGCAAAAGAGCATTACTCTTTAGGGAGTTGAAAGTACTACAGCTGAGTTCCCTGGGAAGAGGACTTGTAAGTGGAAGTGTTGGGAAATGATTTAGAAAGGAAGAGAAAGATCAGATTTTAGGGGTCTAGAATTTATGTGACAATATAAATACATGTTTTATCTCACCATGGTTTTATGACTAAAAAAATTAAAAAAAATAAATATAGTGAAGGTATAGGATTTAATGAAAATAAATCTTGTACCAATTTTGAATAAAGAACATATTTGCTACTGTATATTTAGCTAATATGATATGAAGTATATTGTTCTAGAAAAAACTTTTATTTAAAATATGAATAACAAATAATATTCAAATTTCTTTTGTACTTTTAGCAACCTGGAAGCTTTTCTAGCTGGTCTGGTAGTTTCCTCATGGATGATAGCATGTCTAATACTCTAAATAGCCTTGAGGAACATGCTACTGAGTTTTATGGTATGGATGAAAATCAAACTGCATCTGCTCAGCAGAATTCGCCCACGAAGTTCCTAGCTGTAGAGGCAAATGCTGTGCTATCTTCTCTACAGACCATTCCTGAATTTGCAGAAACTTTGGAACTTATTGAATCTGTAAGTTTAAAATTGTGAAATTATCAAAAATTCAATTTTAGATACATGGTTTCATGTTCAGAAATTCAGTTAATGGGCAGTGACCAGTTTTATATTAGGCATTACTTTATATGTGCCATACTTAATTTTGTTCTATTTTGCAGTATCTTTTGGCAAAATAAATAAGTAAATCTTAAGTATGTGTCTTGTAAATATTTTTTATAATTAAATAGAATTCATTTTTATTAAACAAGTTGTACAAGTACATTAGAGAAAGTTAGAAGCTAGAGAAAACTTTAAAGAAGAAAATTAAAATATTCCATATAACTCAAAATTAATCTGATGTACTCCATCAGTCTGTTTTGTATATATAGAAAATATATATATGTATGTTTTTTTAAATTTTTTTAAATTGTAGTTGGACACAATACTTTTATTTCACTTATTTATTTTTATGTGGTGCTGAGGATCGAACCCAGGGCCTCGCACGTGCTAGGCGAGCGCTCTACCGCTGAGCCACAACCCCAGCCCCTATATGTATGTTTTTAAACCAAAGTACACATATATTTCCATGTTATGTTTCTGTTTCTTTTGTCTTCTATTTATATCATGAGCATGTTTTTATTTTCTAAACTGTTTTTTAAACTTAAATTTTAGTAGGCTTTATAATATGATGAATATAAGAAATGTATTTACCTAGTATGCTATTATTATTGAACATTTGGGGGGAATTCTAGATTTTCAATATTACTAATAACAAAAAATTTATATAAAGCTTTGTGCAAAATTATGTCTATGTTTTTAGGTTAAATTGAATTTTTGGATCAAAGTATATATCAAAGTATCAAAGGACATAAAGATCACCATTTTTAAGATATTTCATACATATTACCAAATGATTGTTCAGATTTTAATATTGTTTTCCTGGGAAGTAGAATATGAAATTTTATGATAAATTATACTTTTTGATAATAATTTGAAATAATTTGTTCTTTTTATATAAAATACTTTAAACAGTAAATTTCAGCTACTGAATGAGATGAAATAATATTTTGGAATGTTTCAAATTGGTATGATAAGAAAACCATAAAACGAGTTGTACAAGTGCATTAGAGAAAGTTAGAAGCTAGAGAAAACTGTAAAGAGGAAAATTAAAATCCCCCATATAACTCAAAATTAATCTGATGTACTCCATCAATCTGTTTTGTATATATAGAAAATATATATATATATATATTTATGTATTTTTTTAAACCAAAGTACACATATATTTCCATGTTATGTTTTGGTTCCATGTTATATTTCTGTTCTTCTTTGATGGTCTTGCTTAAAAAAGATGTCTGAGTAAAGACTGTTTCTACTGATAAAAATGGTTAAGTAACTCAGTGGAAATACCATCCTGTGTCCAAGATCAGATTTAAACTAGGTTACAACATTAACTTTAGTTAAGAATTTAATTTATTGCAGGATCCTGTAGCATGGAGTGATGTTACCAGTTTTGATCTTTCTGATGCTGCTGCTTCTCCTGTCAAGTCTACCCCAGTTAAACTAATGCGAATTCAACACAATGAAGGAGCCATGGAATGTCAATTTAATGTCAGTCTTGTACTTGAAGGGAAAAAAAACAGTTGTAATGGTGGAGACAATGAGGCTGTGCCTTTAACATCCCCAAATATGGCAAAATTTAGCACTCCACCAACTATACTCAGAAAGAAGAGAAGAATGCGAATAGGTCAGTCCCCAAATAATGAACTTGGTGATGGCACATTCAACGATGGCGGTAATACAGCACTAAAGCACACACCGGTGAAAACACTACCATTTTCTCCTTCACAGGTAGTAATGTTTTTATTTATGTTTCCAAGTGTTGATGAGCTAAAGTAGATCTTTAGTATCATTATTAATAATCAGTTGCTTTTTTAAAAAACCTTTATTTATTTATTTTTATGTGGTGCTGAGGATTGAACCCAGTGCCTTGATGTGCTAGGCAAGCACTGTACTGCTGATCCACAACCCCAGCCCCTAATTAGTTGCTTTGATAACACATAAAAACAGATGTGTTTGATTGTGTACATGAGAGTGCTAAACTCAGATCAGAAAGTGTCTCACAAAGTATAGTAGCTACATTATAGCATCCTACAACTATTAAAGATAAAAGGGATGTTTTCATTATTTTTTGGGGGGGCGGGTACTGGGGATTGAACTCAAGGGCCCTCAACCATTGAGCCACATCCCAGCTCTATTTTGTATTTTATTTAGAGACAGGGTCTCACAGAATTGCTTTGTACCTCACTTTTGCTGAGGCTGGCTTTGAACCCCTACCTCAGCCTCCTAAGCTGCTAGGATTACAGGTGTGTGCCACTGTGCCTGGCAACATTTTCTTTATTATGTAGTTCCACATCTGTCTAGGACTCATCAGCCTGGAAACAGAACCAGCCAGAAAGGTAAAATGATTTGCCCAAAGTTATCTAATACAGGCTAAGACTGAGATCCAGTCTGACTCGTTGATCCTTGATTATTCAACAGATATATCCAACAAAAAATAGAGAGATCTCATCTATGTAGAGTAACTTAGATTTGAGTTTACCTGTTAAGTTTTCCTTCTTAACATTCTTTGGAAGAAAGACAACTGGTTACTATAAGAATCTCATGTTAGGAGGTTTTCTAGGATCTCCAGAACTACCTGCTTTCTCCTTTAATGTTCCTGAATAGCAGATGTTTACATTAGGATAAATTCATATTGAATACTTGCTATTTTCTAAGTTGTGTGCCATCACCTTTGTTATAGCATCTCAGTTAATCTTTCAAAAAAAAAAACTTAGGAGTTGGATAGAATGAAATTTTGAAGTTGAGCCACATGTCCTAGTAAGAGATGGAGCTTTTGCTTGTTGAAAGTGTTTTGACAGAGATTAAAAAGTTCTGCAGGGGAGCCAGGTGTGGTGGTGCACGCCTGTAATCCCAACTACTTGAGATGTCAAGGCAGGAGGATCTTAAGTTCAAGGCCAGCCTGGGCAATTTAGACCATGTCTCAAGAAAAAAAAAAAAAAAAAGGACTAGCTTAGTGATAGAGTACCTCCTGGGTTCAATCCCCACTACTAAAAACAAGCAAACAAAAACAACAATAAACCCTGCCTCAGCCTCCTGAGCTTCCAGGATGCCCCCAAAAGTTTTATGGTGCAAGGAGGTTAGTGGTCAAACAAACATGGAGAATGCTGGGATATTATTGGAAGTATGTTTTGAGGTTGGGAATATGAATAGGATCTGGTAGCACAGAGCTATTGTGATCTCTGAAAATTGTGCCCTCATACTTTATGGGGCACCATTTACATAGACTATAATGTGAATAGTGCCTCCCTTTACTTCTTCCCCAGCCCTCAGTTAAAGAACATCCCAAGAAAGGGAAAATGGGTTTGGGCACACTACTAGTTTTCCTTTTCTGGAGTTTTGCCTGCTAGCAATTTTTATTGAAGTGTAAATTCTGTGGTGGAGAGTGTCTGAAAGGTGCTTATGTCCCCAAAGCAAAGAATTTAGACTATTCTGTGAAAGAGGGTTTGATTGCTAATCTTAGGGTAAAGTAATTAAAATATTAGGATATAGGAGTGATAGAGCTAGAATTCATTCCACTTAAAAGTAGCAGTCCTGAAGCAACTTCCACTTCTTATTTTGGCCACAAAAATTAGTATTTCACATTTGTATGACTGAATGAGCACATTATGTAATTTAGAAAATGGATTCTGAGATAAAAATTTTGTTTGCTCCAAGGTTCTGTGCCGTGTTCTAGATAGGCAAATTTTCCAGATAGCTGTATTTCATATTTCATCTTGCTGTGTTACCCAGACACTCCTGGGCTCAAGTGATCCTCCTACCTCAGCTTCCTGTGTAACTGAGACTACAGGTGATCACACAGTGCCCAGCCTGCTATTATATTCTGAATTAATGGTACTCTCATAGAAAAGTCCACTTAAGATCATTAATAACAGTTAAAAACTGACCTACTTCAGTTATATTGTACAAAATTCTTACATTTTAACAGCAGTTTCTACAGATCCATATTTAATAATATACTCTTTTGTTTAAAAATTTTGGTACTTTTCTATATAACTTTTGAACCTTTGTTAAACAACTATTTCAAGAATGCCTCTTACGTGCTAAATGCTGTTCTAAGTGCTGGGAGCAGTGAACAAAACAAAAGTTACTGCCTTTATGGAGCTTTATTTTCATGAAGTGGAGTATACATGGAATATTATTGATAATCTTTTTCTAAAGCAAATAAAATAATTGGAAAGTCTTATCAATTTAATATTTGTGTATAAATTTTGATATTCTGAAACTTGCCTTTAAACTGTATTCCCTTTTTAGTTTTTCAACACATGTCCTGGTAATGAACAACTTAATATAGAAAACCCTTCATTTACATCAACCCCTATTTGTGGGCAAAAAGTTCTCATTACAACTCCTCTTCAGAAGGAAACAACTCCCAAAGATCAAAAGGAAAATGTAGGGTAAGTAGGTACTGAATAATTGTATTAGAGAAAATGAGAAGTAAAACATCAAGGGTAGATTAGGTTTTTGTCCAAATACTTAGCATGTATTATAATCACTATCCATGCAGGACTTAGAACTTTTATAAAGTCATAACCTAATATTTTATCCCTAGGACACTGGAAACCTGCTCAATGTAGTGTGAAAGTTTGATTGCAAGGAAAGCAACCTTCTAAATACTCTTTTCTGACATTAGTCCTTTTTTTCCCTCATTTTAAGATGATTGATTGGAATAATAATTACTTTAGGCAACCTTTTTTTTTTTTGGTGTGCATCTCTTTTATTATGTTATAGTAATCAAATACTACTAAAGATATACATTTGAGAAAAGTGTCACAATGATATTCTATAGAAGAATTCCTTTAAAGAGAGTCCATCCTGACAGCTATATCAACTACATTGTCTTAAGTGATTGTCAGGACCACACTTCTCGAAATTAAGACAATTTATGTAGTGCTTTTGAGTTTTCCTCTTGAGTTCTCCTCTCCATCTGCTCACTTCTTCCACCTAGTCCTACCAAGACTGGGCTAGGGTTTTTTTTTTTTGTACTAGGGGTTGAACTCAGGGGCACTCTGAGCCACATCCCCAGCCCTATTTTGTATTTTATTTAGAGACAGGGTCTCACTGAGTTTCTTAGTGCCTCACTTTTGCTGAGGTTGGCTTTGAACTCTCAATTCTCCCAGCCTCCCGAGCTGCTGGGATTATAGGCATTTACCACTGTACCCAGCAAGGCTAGGAAGAAAATAATTTAGGAAAAAAATGCACACATTCTCAAACAGACTCAAAAATCTGGGTATAAATGATTTTTAAAAAATGTTAAAGCAAGATATTTAATCTAATATTTAAGTTTTCACAAATTATAATAGAAAATTCTGTTTATGCATAGTTATAATGAACTACCTTTTCATTTTCATGCTGATAGACAACCTAAAAAGTAAAATTTTTACATTAAATTTTTATATTTAATGGATTTCTCTGTTTAAATTCTATTAGAGTCCTTTTGTGGAAAACTAAATCTATAATATTCTATTTAATATTGAGATGAACACACTTAAAAGCAAACAGGGAGAAGATGAGTAATACCTCAGGATTTGTAGACATCAGCCTATGAGCAAAACATAGTATATAAATACTGACCATTAGAGTCAGCTATTCCAGGAAAATAGCAATACTGCATTTAACAATATAACTACTCTTGTCTTTATATAGCTCAAATTTGTTTTTGTTGTTTATATTGTTTGTTTCATTTTTAAAATTTCATTTAAAAATTTTTTAAATTCTTTTTAGATATACATGACAGTAGAGTGTATTTTGACATATATACATAGAGTATAACTCCCCATTTTATGGTTGTAGATGATGTAGAATTATACTGGTCATGTATGAACATAGGAAAGTTATGTGAATCATTCTATTGTTTTCCCTATTCCCATCCTCCCTCCCTTCCCTTCAATCTCCTTTGTCTAATCCATTGAATTTATGTTCTTCCTTCCACTCCACTTGTTGTGTGTTAACTGCCACATATCCCAGAGAACATTCAGCCTTTGATTTTTTGGGATTGGTTTATTTCACTTAGCATGATATTCTCCAGTTCTGTTCATTTGCTGGCAAATGCCATAATTTTATTCTTCTTTATGGATGAGTAATATTCCATTGTGTATATATACCGCATTTTCTTTATCCATTCATCTGTTGAAGGGCACCTAGGCTAGTTCCACAGTTTAGCAATTGTCAGTTGAGCTGCTTTAAACATTGATGTGGCTGTATCAATATAATATGCGGATTTTAAGTCCTTTGGGTATACACCCAGGAATGAGATAACTGGGTCAAATGGTGGTTGCATTCAAGTTTTCTGAGGAATCTCCATAATGCTTTCCAGAGTGGTTGTACCAATTTGCAGCAATGTATGATTGTACTTTTTCCCCACGTCCTCACCAACATTTATTGTTACTTGTATTCTTGATAATTGCTATTCTGAATGAAGTGAGATGAAATCTTAGTGAAGCTTTAATTTTCATTTCTCTTAATGCAGAAATGTTGAACATTTTTCATATATTTGTTGACTAATCATATTTCTTCCTCTGTGAAGTGCATGCTCAGTTCCCTTGCCCATTTATTGACTGGGTTATTTGGGTTTTTTTTTTTTTTTTTTTTTTGTGTGTGTGTGTGTGTGTGTGTGAAGTTTTTTGAGTTCTTCATATATCCTGGAGATTAATGCTCTATCTGAGGTGTAGGTGGCAGAGATTTTCTCCCATTCTTTAGGCTATGTCTTCACATTCTTGATTGTTTCTTTTGCTGTGAAGAAGCTTTTTGGTTTTATACCATTTATTGATTCTTGATTTTATTTCTTGCACTTTCTTAGGAGTCTTATTGAGAAATTTGGTTCTGAAGCTGATATAATGGAGAGTTGGGCCTACTTTTTCTTCTAGTAGGTGTAGGGTCTTTGATCTAATGCCTAGGTTCTTGATCCACTCTGAGTTTGAATTTTGTGCAGGGTGAGAGATAAGGGTTTAATTTCATTTTGCTACATATGGATTTACAGTTTTCCCAGCACCATTTATTGAAGAGGCTATCTTTTCTTCAATGTATGTTTATGGTGCCTTTGTCTAGTATGAGAAAACTGTATTTGTTTGTTTATTTATTTTTTGGGGGGTACTGGGGATTGAACTCAGGGGCACTCAGCTACTGAGCCACATCCCCATCCCTATTTTGTATTTTATTTAGAGACAGGGTCTCACTGAGTTGCTTAGCCCCTCACTTTTGCTGAGGCTGGCTTTGAACTCGCGATTCTTCTGCCTCAGTCTCCTGAGCTGCTGGGATTACAGGTGTGTGCCACTGCACCTGGCAAGATAACTGTATTTATATGGGTTTATCTTTGTGCCTTTTATTCTATACCATTGGTCTTCAAGTCTGTTTTTGTGCCAATACCATACCATTTTGTTACTATAGCTCTGTAGTATAATTTAAATTCTGGTATTGTAATTAGGCAACCATACTTTAGCCCTAGAACATCTAAATAAAGCAAGTGCATATGCAAGGAAAGTGTACCCTATGCCTTTTTGACTGTAGTATCAATAACACAAATCTCTACATGGTTGAATAGGTTTAGAACACCTACTATTAGAAGATCTATATTGGGTACCACACCAAGAACTCCTACCCCTTTTAAGAATGCACTTGCTGCTCAGGAGAAAAAATATGGACCTCTTAAAATTGTGGTATGTATACTCTTTATTTTTAAGAATTTTTCTAATTTTAATAAAACAAACTGATTTTATCACTTTGATTTTTAATCAAAAAGATGCTCACTGAAACTGAAACAAAAACTTGAATTTGTTAGTCTTTTTCCTTGACCAGTAAATAACTTTTGCTTCGATTATTTTTAAGTTTTACTTTCTTTGTGTCATCTAGATAAAGCAAAACAGTTGTCAGTGGAACTTTTTTCTTAATAGTAAAATGTACATTTAATAGTTTTACTAGCATTACTTTCATATACTCAGGTACTTAAAATAGTATCTAGGAAACTGAATGATCAGGGTACCTCTCTGAGGCTCAGTTTTCACTTCTACACCCAGGAGATCATAAAGTAAATCCCAGATTTTTATGGTGAAGTTGAAAGAGACAACAGAAATAAATTGACTTGACTTGAGTTTCAAAGTAATATGTACTTAGTTGCTATTATTATTTTTACAGTAGTAGTGGTAGTAGTATACAGATTGATTTGGGAAGTATTCTAGTTTTCAGTGTTCTCATAAATGATGTCACCTTTGAAATAATGTAGAAAAACTATGGACATTTTAGGCAGATACAGATTTTTTATAAAGTTACTAGAAATAAAATGTAATTTAAAAAATATCAATTACTTCCAGGTTACTTTAGTTAAATTTTTAGTCACTTTTTGGGTGGATTCATTACTAAGTTATTATTATTATTATTATTATTTTGCCTCTCTATCTTTATTTTTTTGTTTATTTTTATGTGGTGCTGAGGATCTAACCCAGGGTCTCACACGTGAGAGGGGAGTGCTCTACCGCTGAGCCACAACCCCAGCCCTAATATTATTTTTAAATAATTGTTTTTGCCATTAAACTGATTAATTAATTTATATATTTATAGGAAATAGGATAAAATTATGCTAATAATGTAAAAGTTTTAAAGATAGGTGTTCTATATGTAGGGAGAAAAATGAATTGTTAGCAACAACTTTAAAAAACCCTTTTAAAAACAATTTAGTCCCAGCCACTTGCCTTCTTGGAAGAAGATATTCGAGAAGTTTTAAAAGAAGAAACTGGAACAGACATATTCCTTAAAGAGGAAGATGAACCTGCTTATAAAAGTTGCAAACAAGAGGTAATATTTTAGTATTATTGTAAATAAAAGCTTTATCATGTTCAAGTGACTTGGCTATGATGCTTTTTTGTAAATTATTCATTCTAGCATACTGCTTCTGTGAAGAAAGTCAGAAAGTCACTAGTCTTAGATAATTGGGAAAAAGAAGAACCAGGCACTCAACTGTTGACTGAAGACATTTCAGAGATGCAGGTTTGTAAAGAATTAATATATTTTTTAAGTGGTTGTTTTAAGTCCTAGTGTTTCTAGTTTTATTGTTTGGTCAGTTAGAGAGTCATATAGTTTCCTTTGGTATCATTCTGCCTAATGCAAAGAGAAACTATTAACTGTAAAGAATATTTTATTTGCTTCTTTGTTTTTTCATACTTGTTTATTTTGAGAGGAGTTAGTTTCTCATGTATGAATGTCAAAAAATGGTAATTTGCAAAACTTTCAGTGTTTATCTTTGGTTCATTCCCAAAATATTTAATATTGCCATATTACTAGACAGTGCATTGGAACCAAATGCTTTCTTGGAGGGAAATGAACAGGGCTTCCATTACCACTTACTCAGTAGTCCCTCTGTTTGTCTCCATTTTTGAATTAGTTATTTTATTTTCCTCTTTCTTTTTTCTCTTAGTCAGAAAATATATTTACAACATCTTTATTAATGATACCATTATTGGAAATACATGACAATAGGTGCAACTTGACTCCTGAAAAACAAGATATAAATTCAACCAACAAAACATATACACTTACTAGAAAGAAACCAAACCCTAACACTTCCAAAGGTGTCACATTGGAAAAGAATCTTCAGGTATGGATTTCTAAATTTCTTTAGTGATTTTTGTTATTGTTTATTCAATAATCACTCTAGACTTACTGATCACAAATACTTTTTCTTTTAAATTAGAAATTGACGATAAAAGTACCTAAACATTCATCATTATTTTGTCACTCAAAGTAGATTTGGGTTTGAGAGACTCATTCATCAGGGTACATATTAACCATACAACTGGAGTTGTAGCCAAAGATGCTTGATGATTTCTTAAGTACTATTTCTTTTTTAAACTAAAGATACCTAAATCAATTTCTGGCACCTCTTCTCCTATAATAAATATGAATAGTCTTAATTGCTGTCCTGAAAGAGTTAAGTGGTTGGAAGCAGTGTCAGCATGCTTTTATTGCTATAATGGTTCCCAGTAAAGTTTTTGGCTCAGAAATAGTGAAATAAAATCCTTGTATCTGTTGCTATGTGGCCAGTATATTGCTGCAAATAAAGGCTGAAATTTTTTATTATGTTATCTTAAGAGCTTACTCCACAGAATGTAAGAATATAAGTTAACAGAAGAGGAGGGTTTCTTCTTTATGCCGTAACAACTGCAGCATAGTATTCCTGACATTTAAGGATTACTTGAAAGTGTCATTGGCAGTCAGATATGGTCACCTCCAATTTGTCTTGAGCTACTGCTTCAAAGAGATATGTAGCACTCTTTTTTTCTTCTTTCCACATTTTTATTGGGGCATTATAGTTGTACATAATGATGAGACTTATTGTTACAGATTCATATGTACGTAAAATATAACGATATAATTTGGCCAGTATCACTCCCCATCATTTCCCTGTTCCTTCCCTCTTCTCATTCCCTGATCCTTTTTCCTCTACTGGTCATCCTTTTATTTTCATTTGATCCCCACCCTCCACATTTCTTTTTCTTTGTCCTCTCTAGCTTCCACATATGAGAGAAAACATGACCATTGACTTTGAGTTTGGCTTATTACCACTTAACATATGGTCTCAAGTTCCATCCATTTTCCTGCAAATGACATTTCATTTTTCTTTATGGCTTATGTATATATAACACATTTTCTTTACTCATTCATCTATTGATGGACACTTAGGCTGGTTCTATAGGTTGGCTATTGTGAATTGTGCTGTTATAAACATGAATATGCATGTATCACTATAGTGTGATGACTTTAATTCTTTTGGACAAATACTAAGGAGCAGTATAGATGGGTCATATAATGGTTCCTTTTTTAGTCTTTTGAGGAACTGCTATACTGATTTCCATAGTGGTTGTACTAATTTATAATCTCACCAATAGTGTAAAAGTGTTCTTTTTTGTTCACATCCTCTCCAGAATTTATTATTGTTTGTATTTTTGATGACTGCCATTCTGACTGGAATGAGAAGAAATCTCAGTATAGTTTTAATTTGCATTCCCCTAATTACTAACAATGTTGAACATTTTTTTTCGTATATTTGTTGGCTGCTTGTATTTCTTCTTTGAGAAATGTCTGTTTAATTCATTTATTAATTGGGTTACTTAGGGGGTTTGGGGGCATTTATTGAGTTCTTCATATATTCTGTATATTAAGCCTCTGTCAGACAAGTAGCTAGCAAAGATTTTCTCCAATTCTGTAGGTTCTATCTTCACATTCCTGTTTCCTTTGCTGTGCAGAAACTTTTCAATTTGATGTCATCCCATTTATTAACTCTTGGCATTTTTTCCTGAGCTTTAGGCTTCCTATTGAGAAATTCATTGTCTGTGCCTATATGGAGGCATGTTGACCCTGAGTTTTCTTCTAAGAGTTGCATAATTTCTGGCCTTATTCCAAGATCTTTGATCCATTTTGAGTTGCTTTTTGTGTAGCACATTCTCTTAATCCCAATGTTTAATTTACATAGAACCTTTTGGAAAAGTTCATTATATACTAGATCCTACCTAGAATGTAGTAATCTTTATTCTTTAAATGGGAAGAAAACAAATCAAACTTGACTTTGTGTGATGAATGTATTCACTAATTTGTAAGACATAAAACATTCTTGGTTAATTTTTTGACATTACATCCTCTCTTTAAATCTTTTTTTTTTTTTTTTTTTTTTTGTTGTGGTGGTGGTGGTGATATAACCCAGGGCTCACCCATGTTGGTCTATAACCCCCTATTTTTAAAATTTTTGCAAAAGTTGGAAGTAATAAAGATTTAACATTTCTTTCCATGTTGAGACTCATTTGATTTTGGAGGAGCTGTTGGGGAAAAAACTTTTATATTACTTCCATAGGCCTATAAGCAATATGGATAGTTAAAATAATTGACTTTTAAAAAATTGATTATAAATATTTTCTAGGTATTTTTAAAGTATCTTATCAAAACATTTTATAGTAATGACTTATAAAATACCTGATCAATTAAAATAACTAATTTTTAAAAGTCTAATCATAGAGTAGGTATGGATATTATTTTAGTACTTTTGTTGTTTTTTTCTTCCTAGTCAAATTGTGAATGGGAAACAGTGGTTTATGGGAAGACAGAAGACCAGCTTATCATGACTGAACAAGCAAGAAGATATCTGAGTACTTACACAGCTACCAGCAGCACTTCAAGAGCTCTAATACTGTAATTGTTACTAAAACTGATGAAATGCCCCATTCCCTTACTGTATTCTATACTAAATTAGGTTGCAGTGAAATTTTTCTCAATTAATTACTTCTAAAGTTTTAATATAGCCTTAAAACAGTTAGCATCTTTTTTCTATACTGGGTAGGCAAAATGCTAATAAGCTCTTCCGGTAGTGGAAAAGAAAAAAAAAAGCTAATAAGTCACTTACGTAAGGAGTGGGTAATTTCATTGTTTATTTTTTTTTAAAGAGATGGGATTTTTAAAAAATTATTTTTAAAGAACAAGATGGGAAAATAAGAATGTTCATGGATATTTCAGAAGTAAATTCTCACATATTTTCTTTACAAGATATATGTTGCTATTCTCTTGAGGCTGCAGTTTTGTTATAGACAGGTATATTAGTACATATAATCTCTGAAATTAGCCAAGGGAAGCACACATGGTTTTATGAAGTATTTTTGTCCATGTGCTGATTAACTTATGTTACCATTTTAAAAAGAAACACAGTGAAAAGAAGTCTAAAGGAAGATAGAAAGTTGCACTACTAATTTTTGGTATTTTTCAGAAACAGTAAAATTAACTACAGTGTTAAGTGTATTTATTTGAGCATAGTACTAAAGACAAGAAGCATTGAAAAAGGTTTTTTCCTTATTAGTAAAGAGTCAGTATTTTCTTCATAAATCTCAGAAGAGCTGAGAGTTTTGTTGAATGTATTGTACAGTATGTAGGAGCAGGAAAATTTTGTAAATTGGACAGATGTCTGTTTTTATAATTTATTTTCATTTTTAAAGCTTAAATGTAGATATTTATACATATACAGGGTGTCTAGAAGCCAGTGTTGTTTCCTGTCATTACAGCTAACATAGAAAAGAACAATTTTGACCTTTAAGTATGAAACAGTAAGTTATATCTGCAAAGAATACAATATCTATACTGTATGTCACATCTACCTAAATATTGCACTATGCCCTTTAAATCATGTTGGTTATAAAATAGTTCTAAAAATGTACTAAATAATAATTTAATATTTTCTTTTTAAATTATATCGGGGGGTCATATAAATTAATCTGGTAATTTGTATATGTGTTGAAATTTTTGCATTTTGTTTAAAAATAATATGGTACCTTGGTCCCTAAAGACAGACTGTACTTAGAAGTTTATTGTATTTACTCAATGTTTCAGAAGTAGAGAACATTATCTTTTATTTATAAAAATATTTTGTCCTTTTATAAATGTTTTGTGTTTCTCTACAGGTTACAACAGTTGCTTCAGTTGCCTGTTTTAGGTGTTTGCACTTATTTTATTTCTTCTTGAAAGAATGTCTTTATTTGCTTTTGTGGTAGAGATTTTATGTAATTTTTTTGAAACATATAATGGTGTGCTGTCAATTTAAACACTGACAGGCAAATAGAATTGTACACTGAAGTTTGAATTATTTATAATTGACACACTCTCTCCCTCTCCACTCCTGATGTATGCTGCTATAGAAAATAGCAGAATCGGCTTGCTGCTATGAGAGATGGAAAGAGCGACCACCACTTGCACTGTGTGAAAAGATAAAAAGCAAATGATGGCAAGTTCTCAAGTTAACTTAATGGAATCAACCATTACCAGGCAAATTCTTATCAATACCAAAATATTACTATGCCTTAAAAACAAAACAAAACAACTTAGGATTTTCTGATCTGTTTTTTATGTTAATAGAAATGGAAATACTAAGAATTTTAATGCCTAGCTCTTGAACAGTAGACCTAAAAGGGTTTTAAGTTATTTAAATCCACTTGCTAGTTTTGCATACTATATGTTAGTGAGAAGTAAAGAATATGTATGGTACTAAGATTATGCTTTGTTGATAACAAATAGATAAACCAATTTGAATCTTCTTAGCATGTTTGTTAAGTGTGTTGATTGCTTTCTAATTAATGAACTTCTCACAGAAATTTCACTTTGTAAAACCAATGATTGTGACAAAATCATACTGGATCATTTCAGTTACCTTAAACTGATAGCATATAATGGCCTTTTTTTTTTTTTAATGTAGCCCTTGGCTGGATTGGATACACATAGTCTCTAAACCACCAAAGTATAATATCTTAGAAGAGCTATATTTTTTAAAGTCTAATTTTTCTTGAGCATTAAATTATACCAAATGGAAATATATTGTGGATAAGCCTGGGCTTGTTGGACATAGTACATTTTTGGATTGGTATTGGTTGAATTCTCCAGTTAACTGCTTTGTTGCTTTTTTGCAAGATTTTCAATTGTAAATGTGTCAGGCATCTTAATTCTCCCTTTTTACGGTTGTGTTCATTTAAATTTCTTTCATTGTTATAAAAATGCCAGACATACATGTAGCAGCCATACTTTCCTGGAAACTGACTACACATATATCATATAATATATATACAGCATTTTATTGTAAGGCTTTCACATTAATACAGCAATTACCCTGACTAAATTGAGCTTTTTTGATATATGAAGAAATTTTCTATTGTAAGAGAATCTTGCATACAGTGTTGACATATATTAACATCCAAATAAAGCATCTGTGTACAAGCTGACTTGGCCTTGCTCATTTCACTTCCATTTTTTGTCTTATGGACTTGATACTCTTAAGGACTGAACCCAACATTCTGTTCTTAGACCTTTTTTCTCTTAGAATTCCCTTTACAGGTGATTTTTATCTATTAATGCAACATGGCCTCTTCACTGCGCCTCATTCAGAACCATATTTTCAACTGCTTTGTAGATACTTCCACATGAATCTTCTGTCAGCACCTCAAGTATGACATGTCCAAAGCAGATTTCCTTTTTCCCAACTTGGGCCTGTCCTTCCTTTGTTCTATCTCTAAATGGTATTGCTTTCTCTTCCTTCATCCCCTGAATAATCTTCTATCTTTTCCTCACCTCTTTACTGAAATCTGTTGTAATCTCTCAGCTTGCATAATGCCGCCATTCTAATTCCATTCCTTTCTCTTACACTTGGATTGGATTTAGAAATATCAAGAAACTGTGTGGTGACATCAGGGTGTTTTCTCTGGGAAAGGCCACTTGGTTACCCTATCAAGTCTTGGCAGCATCACATACCTTGGTAAATTCACTGTTGCTTTAATTTAGCCTTCTAGTCTCAGAAATCTGTTGGAATTAACTCACTGAAAAATGAGTTTACCCCACAGTAGAAGGCTAATATCAAGTTTATAAGACTAATACATGTAACATGAATGTCAATCTATTAATTATCAGTGTGAAATTAAACTGCTGAGAGGACTAGATACATTCTCATATATAAGCAGAAAGAAATATAAAAAGCACATAAATATGATCACATCTCATTTAAAAACCTTTCACAGATCTCTGTTGCCTAAATAATAATTCTTCACTTCTTAATCTGGACCTGGCTTGTCTTTCCACATTACATTTTTCATCATGCTGTTGTCTTGGATCCCCAAGACAAATGCATCTACCTCTCTTCATGCCTGAGTTTTTTATATTCTCTCTGCATGACTGCTTTTCTTTCTTTCTAGACTGTTAAAATCTCATTTGTCCTTTAAGGCACAAGGCTGTGAATCATTTCCTGAGTATTCTAGCGCTTCCATAAAACTTTTCCACTAAATTTATATTTTTGAAGAGTAGGAATTGCTATTTATAACTATTTCATTTCTGTGTCTATCATGGTGCTTAGAAAATCTAGCTAAAAGTTAAACTGAAAAAAATGTTAAAAATTAGTCTTAATTGTTGGAGAATATTAAAGATACTTATATGACAAATAGCTTTTGTTTTTTAGTTTCTGTGAGAAGGCAATTTTGCTTTATAGTTAAGAAACTATTAACTTTCTTAAAAATTTTTAGCTCATTTTTATAACTCTGTAATTTTCTGTTTAACTTGTCTAGTTATACAAAGACCTGCCAGCTAATTGGACCTTTAATTTCAATGTAAAACATGATACTATTTGAAGAGATACTTCTTACTTTGATAAGTGAAGTTTATTATAGTAAGTAGTAGTGGATAAATTAGACCAAGTAAAATTCCATTGGAATATTAAACTTTTTCCAGTCCTTTTTAAAAATAAGTACAGAGTGGTCAAGAATATTTGAAATATATTAGAAAACCAAGACAAAGTGTACTTGGAAAAAAATTATTTGTGACCAATGTGCTAGGAAGAGTACTTTTGAAGCTTTCAGTATCTTGACATAAGTACATTAAAAACTGTTGAGTTTGAGGCAAACGTGGTATCAAAAATAGTGTAATGTACGGCTCTTATTTCTGAAATTCTCTGACCTGGTGTGCTTATTCAAGTTCCAAGTACAGAATGTGCTAGATTTGGTTAGATTTTTCCTGGCCAGCACAGGGTTTGAACTACTGGGGTTTTGCCAACCATAGCTCAAAGGTTTGAGCAGATGCTGACATAATTTCCTAAGTCCTAATACAGTTAGCACTTATTTATTTATTCAACTTAACTGGGCACTTACTATACCCTGGGCTAGTTACTGAGGATACTTTGGTAAATAGTACCCTTCTCTTAAGCTGACATTCTTTTTTTTTTTTTAATTTTTATTGTTGGTTGTTCAAAACATAGTTCTTGATATATCATATTTCACACTTTGATTCAAGTGGGTTATGAACTCCCATTTTTACCCCGTATACAGATTGCAGAATCACATCAGTTACACATCCATTGATTTACATATTGCCATACTAGTGTCTGTTGTATTCTGCTGCATTCTAAAAGAGGAAATGACAGAAATATTTCTTCTTTGGCCATTAAAAAAAAATTAGATGTATCAAGTAGCCAAGTTTCCTATTACATGTGTATTGCTCATTTATGTGTAGAGAAAAGGTTAACTCTGCCCAGAGAGGGTGGATTTTTTCCTTCCAGTGTGCAGAATTAGTTGTTAGGTGGTTCACTGGAGACTCGTGCAGACTAAAAATTTTAGTTCATTGTAGCAGCTACAGCCATATGTCAGCCTCTATGCTAAACCCTTTACATACACAATCTCATAT